ATATATATATATATATATATACATATATATATATATTTTGTTATATATATATATATATAGTATATATATTTAGTTATATAGTATATATATATATATATATATATATATATATATATATATATATATATATATATATATATATATATATATATATATATACATATATATATATAGTTATATATATAGTTATACTATATACATATATATATATATATATATAACTATATATATATATAACTATATATATATATATATATATATATATATATATATATATATATATATATATATATATATATATATATATATATTATATATATATATAACTATGTATATATATATATATAACTATATATATATATATATATATATATATATATATATATATATATATATATATATATATATATATATATATATATATATATATATATATATATATATATATATATATATATATATATATATATATATATATATAGTTATATATATATATAGTTATATATATATATATATATATATATATATATATATACATATATATATATATATATATATATATATATATATATATATATATATATATATATATATATATATATATATATATATATATGTATATAGTATAACTATAAATATAACTATATATATATGTATATATATATATATATATATATATATATATATATATATATATATATATATATATATATATATATATATATATATATATATATATATATATATAATATATATATATATATATATATATATATATAGTTTATATATATTTTTGCGTAAATTAATTTAGACTGGGAAGGAATGTATAATAATTTTCTATATTGTTTAACATTGTATGCTTGTTATAGATGCTCAGTGCAATAACTGTATTATTATTTTCAGATTAATGTATTAAAAATGGATAATTTGGATATCCATCATTCAGTTAGAATTTTTTCAGATGACCTGCTACATCTGCGCATGTTTCTGATACTGTAACTGATGATATACAATTGGAACTACATTCTCGATAAACTTCTGCTAAGAAAAGTACAAGGAAGTTATCTGTGATATATAGTCTTGGCAACAAGATCCTGGCAAAAGATGTGGAAATAAATGGAGCACATCTTCCAACATGTCAGCAAGTGTTGCGAGTATCAGGTATCATGTTTATGATGGTGGTACATGCAAAAACCATACTTAGTGGGATTCGGCTAAGCTGGTGTTAGCAAAAATCACAGTTTTCTATAAAAAAACAAACATTTGTATGATCAGTGATCGTAAAGCATGCGAGATGTTAAAACTGCTTGTTGACAATGACAAAAATAGAGTGATACTGTCTGCACGCAGGTGAACATCAGCTTTGATGAAAATGGTCCTGCAGATGGAGGATATTTTAGTGAAAACATTTCAACTGTGACCGCAGAATGCTGAACAACTGATAAAAAATCTGGAAGACTTGTCTTTTTACAGTCAATGAAAACCAATCAAGCTGCAAGTTTTGGTTCTCATAACATAGTGTTAGCTTTAAAACTTTAGCATCGTCAGAAGCGCTGCGGTGTCACAAACTGAAGCAACAGAGAAGTATTACTATGGTTGCAGATAGTGTCGAGGTTGACGAACTAAATAATAGTGACCACCCTGACAAAGTTGACAATGACGATAATTCTGAATATGAACTTCCTCCAAATGATATTTTACCAGTTAAGACTGCTAGCAGACGTTATCGTATCAATACTCAACCTGGAACTCCTTCCACGTGATATAATAAAAAAACCCAAACTTGTCACCTAGGCAACTTGTCTAAAGATGACACCAACACAGCAAGCAGCCTATACTGAAACCATGATATCCAAGGCTGGAGGCTACATGTCAAAAGTCCATACATCAAATTCAACTGCTACCAAATCCAGGCGTAAGATTGGACAGAAGATAGCTTCAGCTTGCAGGGAGCAATAGGTTGCCCTGAAGCTGTCAACTCTGACTTGGGATTCGAAACAAATGCCATAACTGATATATAAGAATATTACTCAGGAGCACCCTGCAGTTCTTGTCAGGAATGCAAATGAATTGAAGTTTCTCTGCATACCATCACATGCACCAGGAACCGATAGAAAATCTGTTACACTTTGATGATAGTGCGTTTGATCATACTGCAAAACCCTTCATTGACAAATGCAGAGAAAATGTTCTATGGATTTCTAATTTGCAGTTATTATTTTGTAGAAATGATAATAAGGAATTTGCAGAGCTTTGTGTTATGTTCCTACATGGGGAAGCAGAAGAACACATTCAAGTGAAGCTGAAAGCCACATTCAAGTGACGCTTAAGCTGAGCTCATATCTTCTGTCAGCATCAAAATTTGTGGAGACACAAATGTCACATACAGTTTAATGCGCAAGCACAACTCAACTTACAAGTAACAATATCATGACAATGGTGACATCATGTACGACATGCCTTGGTGACATCATGTACATTATAAATGTAAACTACTCTGAGCAATATAATGCATATTGTAAATAATATTGTCCTGGTAATAGTTCAATCACTACTGTACTAGTGTTTTGCTACTGTTTACTATTTAATAATTAAATAGAACATTTCTAATCTAATTTAATAACATAAATAGAACATTTCTAATCTGTTAAGTACTTCTGGAGATGATGGACATTGACAAATGTAACATTAAAAATGATAAAATAATGACTAAACCATAATGATAAAATGGTTCTTATGCAAAGCAAAATCAAAATGTGATTTGCCTGGTCATATTATGTATAATGTGCGCAATATTGTACAGTATGTACATCCTAGCAATAGTTCGCTATGGTAAAACTGCAAGTGTTGCATTGGATACTTAGATTATGTCCAAATATTATTAAAATTTGAAAAACATCTATGTACATTAATAGGAAAAGAAATGAAATAGAGACAGACACCTTAGATTAAAATTTAAAAAAAGGGGCAAAATGATGCACCCTTATATATATATATATATATATATATATATATATATATATATATATATATATATATATATATATATATATATATATATATATATATATATATATATATATATATATATATATATATATATATATATATATATATATATATATATATATATATATATATATATATATATATTTATATATATATATATATATATATATATATATATATATATATATATATATATATATATATATATATATATAATAATATATATATATATATATATATATATATATATATATATATATATATATATATATATATATATATACAGCATGCGCAGAAGCAATAATAGTTAGAATAGACATAATTTTTTGGAGGCCGAACTATACAGACATCCACAACGAATATTAATTTAACCAAATAGGGTAAAAAAATTCATCTAACTAAAACTTTACTTTTAGCTTCGATTTCGTACAGATTCAATCACATTCTATTAATTAATGACTATTATATTTAAAAATTCAAAAACATCAAAACGTTGGAATATCAAATATTTTTGTCAAATTTAAGTTAATAAACTAAATATTTTAACGAATATCTTTGAATCAGTTATGCTTATATTAAAGTCTATTTATTAAAAAAGTTAAAGTTAAACGAAACTAAAAAAAGTTGCAATAAACAATAAGTATAACAAATATATTTGTTATATAACTTTGGAAACTTTTGGAAGCATGCTCACAAACAACAAAAGAAAAAATATAATGTCACTAATTTCACAAACCCATTTATCAAAAATACGTCAGAATATAAGATATTTATATATTATATTTGTATAAGTATATATTACATATGTATATACTTACACTAATATATATTAGATTGATATAAGTCTACTATATATCTATTAAGTATGCAATCAAGTATATAAAAAATTATTCACTTGATAATAATTAAATTGTGCATTCAGTTTAAATTAGAAAGCAGTTAAACTGCTTCTAATTTAAATAAAAAAAACAGAAAATTTCTGTTTTGTACAAACAATAGATGGAAAGTTATGAAGTCATTACTTCTAACAGATAGAATGAAATGTTTACAATTTTCAAAACATTTCATCCCAATGAGGATAGAAAATTCAAATTAAAAAATTAAAACTTGATTGAATTTTGAAAAATCAAAAGAATTAATTCACAAGATTTTGTAAAAAGGTAAGATCTTTTGCTTTATTGTTTTTAATTTTTCACGCATCTTTTGTAAATAAAAGAAACATTCTTTATTTTAATTTTTAACTATTATTTACTTTAAATTAAGTTAAAAACGTTTCTGTTGCTTAGAATGTCCGCAATCAAGCATTTTAATTTAACTCCAATAGCCTATTGAAAAGGAAACAAAGTTATGTTGTCAATTTTTAGTAAATGGCAATATTTCATTGATTTTATTTAATATCAAATCTGCGATAAAATATTTTTTCCGGTAGATAGATAAATGCATTAAAAAACCAAAGCTTTTTTGTCTGATTTCCTGAACAAAAAATCATCCACCCTTTCCTTTGTACACACTGGTATGCTTGAGTGACCCCCTCCCCATATTTGTGTATGTTTTATAATGGATGGCTCCATGGCTACCAATTTCCAACTCTGAATATTGCTCTTAAAGACTTTTTTTTCTAATTCCAAGGGTTGTATCAGCAAATGCTTACCATTTTGCTTATCTTTATAACAATTTGCTTTTTCAGAAAAAGAAGAAAAAAATGAAGAATAACAAAAGAAAAGATTACTGCCCCATGCCAAACTCTCAGTAAATACCAAACTCTCAGCCACACTCCTTTATAGTAATAGGCTATAAGATAATCAATGTGTGTACTGAGGCCTGGCAAGTCATTTCAGTGTGACATCACAGTGCTTATCTAAACAGGCATTTGTTGCAAAATATATATATATATATATATATATATATATATATATATATATATATATATATATATATATATATATATATATATATATATATATAGACATAAATTAAAAAGTGTTTCATACCATCATCTAATATCGATATCACAACACCTTTTCCCGTAATTCCTCTTCTCCAAACAGGAAGCAAATTTAAATCATGTCCAAAATAATCATCATCCTGCCTGTACTGAGATTAAAATAAAAAATAATATATCAATTATGAATTAAAGTCAAATTCAAGCATTAATCAAACTTTTATAGTGCCATTCGAAGCACCCTTAATTAAAATCATAATTATTTAATTCTTAATCAACTTCTTAACAGTAGCACCATAACAAAATTACAAAACTTTAAACATAACAAAACAACTTGTCAGAAACAGGGCTAGAAATAGGCGGTGTTTTAAGAGGAAGGAAGGGAAGGAAGAAGAGAGGGAAGTATGCTAAAGGAAGGGAAGTGTGCTGAAGGAAGTGTGTTGAAAGAAGTGTGTTGAGGGAAGTGTGCTGAAGGGGGTAAAGTGAGCAGAAAGGAAGGAAGTGTGCAAAAGGGAGGGAAGTGTGCTGAAGGGAGGGAATCGTGCTGAAGGAAAGGTTTGCTGATGGAAAGAAAGTGTGCTAAAAAGATAGAAGTGTACTGAAGGGAGGAAAGTATGCTGGATCATCAAAATCAGACTATGACATTGTGAGTATGTATAGAAACTATATGTTATAATCAAATATATAATAGTATTTGCTGTTATTTTTTTCTTATGTTTAAGAAATTAAAAAGAATATTGTTACTTCAGATACTTATTTAAGAATATGGTCAACATAAAACCAACTTTTTCAGCTAGAGTAGACCATTTAGTATTACATAAATGTAAGCTAGAGTCACATGTATTAACATGTTCATAGCAACAGTCATGTGTATTAACTCAATTGGACGTGTGTTTATTAAAATAGTATTACTTAATGTTGTTACATTTTAAAAATATTACACATTTAAAATTCTTATTTATTTTCCTTATAATTGTTTATTATTTATATTTTCACTTTAAGAACTATGATGTAAACAAAACAAAATAATCTGTTATACATAAATATTAAATTTAATGCTGCTGTTACACATTCGTGAGTGCTTGCACAGAACTGTTACCCATTCGTGTAATCTTAAAAATTTTATCAAGTTTTTTTTCTTTTACTTTAAAATTGCATTGGAGCAATATCTTGTTAATTTTAATTTATAGCATTTATTTGTGGTTTTTAAGTTATACATTTTTTAAAACAGTTTTTTTTTACTAAATAGTGTTTAAAATTACTAGACTAGTGTGCCTTAGTAGCCGAGGTTGTTAGCTTGCTGCGCCTATGATGTACAATGGGAAGGTATGATGTACAATGGGAAGGTTCAAATTCTGTTTTTTTTTTAAATCTTTAAAACAATTTTTTATTTTATATTTTAAAAATTTTTTTATTTTGTATTTTTAAAAATTTTCAAAGTTCTATTGATGTTATATACATAACATATAAAATGATATAAAGATAACATATATAAAGATATAAAGATAACATATACAAAGATATAAAGATAACATATATAAAGATAACAAACAAAAGGGAGAGAATTTATATAAAAGCTTAAATTTTTTTTAAACATCAAAACAGCGAAATTTTTGGTGCATATGTTGCTATAGAGAAACCTGTAATGTGCTTTAGTAAATTTTGTGCTTTGAACATTAAAGAAAAAAAAAGATTTTACATTCAAACTCTAAACATTGACATATTTTTTTAAAATCAATTAACGGGGCAAGAGATATGAGCTGCAGATGGTCTGGAAAAAAATTTAATAGAAACTTAATAAATAAAAAAAATTAATAACCCTGTAACAGGTTTTATTTGTATAGAAGTTTACGATTTTATAATAAGAAGTTATAAAATATTGAACATTAATTGTTAATTAAACAAAGATGTGAAAAATTTTTATTTTATACAACTTACTAAAAATTATTGAATAAAAACAACTATATAAAGAATAAATATATAAATGGTTGGAGTTGACGTACCATGACCCGTATTATACAGGTCATAGTAAGTTCATTATTCAACATATTTTTAAGTCTAATTCCAAATTTTTCTTATAATGTTTATATCGATTGTAATTAATCAACACATTTCAAGCAGGTATTCTAAATGTTATTTAGAATACCTGCTTTAGGTACTAATATCCAAATTGTGGTTCGCGCGACTACCGAAGCGCTAAAAAAATTTTAAAGTTACTTATAAATTGTTTTTATTAAAAAATTAAAAGACATAATGTATAGTTTTTCTACCGCTTACTAAAAATATTTAAGTAAGGAGTAACTATAGAAATGGTCAGTGTAGATTAGACATACCAAGACCCGCATTTTACGGGTCCGGAGAGCAAGTAATAATAGATTATAATATAAACTAAATTATTATAATATTTATAATACTAATAATAATAATAATAATTATTGTATAGTAATAAGGTGTTATGTTTATTATTTAATGAAATAGGGTAGGTGAAATTTACTAAAATAGGTATATTTTTGTGCTTTAACTTTTACTAAATAATAATTTAATTGATTAATAACCAGCCATTTTAATTACTTGTGGTATAAAGAGCATCGACACTTTGAGTTTAATCAAAGATGGTTGCTTTTTGTTTTATTTGGTTTTGTTTCCAAATGGTTAAAATAAAAATTACCTGGATCCTGCCTAGGTATTCTTGCTCAGCATAAAATGAAAGGTTTTAAGAAACCTGATAAACTTGTTTAGCAATTTTCACAAAACATATCTAATCTTCTTCATCACCTAACTCAATTTATACAATGCCAGGCCAATAGAATTAATACATTTCTCAAACACAGCTGCCAGTGTTAAAGTAGATTAGAGTATAATTAGTACCTTAAGCAAAAATTGAAATACTTTCAAAAATAGTTATGCTGTATCCAAAATTTTTGCTAACAAAATTTTTGCTTTTATTATTTTATTTTACAAACAATTTTTAGGGATCACTACTTATAATTCAAAAATCGCTTAGATTTTTTGACAATCAAAATTTTTCCTTATTAACAAATATTTTTTAAAAAAGTAGCAAATGTGCTCATATTAATCAGACTGCTTGGTGAAGAAGAATTAATTTAGAATTAAGAACCAAGTTCTCATGTGTTGAATTGGAACAAATTTCAGGAATATAACAATTTTTTATTAATCAAATTTATTAAAACTATTAATAAAAAATCGAATTTTAAACCACAATTTATTAAAACAATACTGCTTTGTTTTTAGGCTTAATTATTTTTGAGTTATAAATAAATTTTTGTTAAAGAAAATTTCTCCACATGATACCTCACTGAACTATGGAATTGCCAATATATATATTTTATTTTATTTTAAATTTGCTATATTATTTGGTATCGAATTCACATCTCTAACTATCCATATTATTCTTCAAAAATATTAATACTTTACAAATTTGGGTGAAGTTAGGGTTTTGGTTGTTTGTAGTGAAGTCTTTTTTTACTGCAGTATGGAGTAAGCATAAATTTTAATTAATTTGAGCATAAATTACACAAATATACCATATCTTTAAATGAAGTTAAAGTAAATGTTTCCAACAATTGATTTAAAAAAAAAAAAAAAAAAAAGAACAGATTCCTTGGCTAACAAGTTTTTCTTTAAGAAAAAACTAATATCCATAATTCAACATTATAATTCAACAATTTGGCACTTTTATGTCTTATGAAAATATTTAAAAAAACAAATAAGTGAATGGCGTTTTAATGAAAAATAAAAAAATTAATGAGAAAAATTAATAATAACTTTATTAGCTTTTACACATTTTAAATTTATCTTTAAAACACGGGGTTTTTCCTGAAAACCTTGTATTTTAAAAATGTGCACAGGTAACGCCAATCTATAAAACAAGTGATCCTTCTCAAACTACAGGCTAATCTCAATTTATACCTGCTTTTCCAAGATTATGGAACATGTTATGTATAACAGACTTTATTCTTTTTTAACTATTAATAATATTCTTTATAAAAACAATTTGGGTTTAAATCTGGCCATTCAACCAATCATGCAGTCATTCTAGTACACGAAATATTAAAATTCTGTTTAATATAAATTTACTATACTACTTACTGTTACATAAATTCAAAAAATACAAATCAAAAAATTCAAAAAATCAACTTGAGCTTTACTAAACACATCAGAAATTTTTTGCTCAAATTACCAAGATGCTTAAATTACCCTAATCTACCCTACCTTAGCCTTATATGTAAATATTTATTTTTTGTATAACAACAATTACTTGTTTCTATTGTCCCAGTTCAAAGGTTTATGGACATTTATAAAAAAGTTTTCAATTGATTGAAAATTATTTTTCAATCAATTGAAAACTTTTTTATAAAGAGAAAACTGTAAAATTTATTTAAAACAAGATGAACTGCTTGAGCCAAATCAATAAAATCTGTATGTGTTACATTGGAATCAATTATAAACATCCTTGTAAACATGTCCAATGACCTATATTTTAGTTAAAATAATAAAATTTAAGCTCTAGGATTCAACTTTTTAATATTGTTGTATTTTATGAAAAATATAAAGTACAAAATTAAAATGAAATTCTTAAAGCTAAAGCTAATAAAGTTGATGCTCTTATATTGCTAAATAGTTCAACCGAGATTTTCAACAATGATCACAAACATGTCATGGATAATTTCAAATATATTAATGATGACAAACTGGCCATAGATAATCTAGTTAAAAGTTCAATTAAATATCTTAATCAGACATTGATCCTGAATCTAACTTTTAATGAGTTCATAAAAAAAGACTATTACCCGAAAAGATTGAATCTAGTCTGAAGTCTCAGACCAAACTCAACTTTCAAACATTCTACAGATCAGAATTCCAAAAAATTTCAGAGCTCTAGTTTTATTATCTTCTAAGCATTTGAAAAAAATTTGAAACAAAGTATTAAGATTAATTTTAATAGCACCCAAAAATGACGAGATAAGTACATCATCAAATAAAAAAGATGAGATAAGTACATCATCAAATAAAAAATGACCAGATAAGTACATCATCAAATAAAAAATGATGAGATAAGTACATCATCAAATAAAAATGACGAGATAAGTACATTATCAAATAAAAAATGATGAGATAAGTACATCATCAAATAAAAATGATGAGATAAGTACATCATCAACTAAAAAATGATAAGATAAGTACATCATCAACTAAAAAATGACCAGATAAATACATCATCAAATAAAAATGATTAGATAAGTGCATCATCAAATAAATATGATGAGATAAGTACATCATCAAATAAAAACGATGAGATAAGTACATCATCAAATAAAAACAATTAACAAATTAAAAATGATCAAAAACTATTTAAGATTTACAAATGCTGATTGGTTACAAAACTTAATGGTTTTAACAAATGCTGATTGGTTACAAAACCTGATGGTTTTAACAAATGCTGATTGGTTACAAAACTTGATGGTTTTAACAAATGCTGATTGGTTACAAAACTTGATGGTTTTAACAAATGCTGATTGGTTACAAAACTTGATGGTTTTAACAAAGATATGTTGGATGTAATTAATTTAAGAAGTGTTATTAAAAAGGATGTATTAGGATTTTCTAGGACACTTCAACCCAAGAAATTTCTAGTATATTTTATATCCAGGAACAAAAAAAACAACATCTTTTGACATTTTAAGGAAGAAGTATTTTAAGTAAAAATTTTCATATGTAAAAATATTGTTAGATTACCAGATACCATTGCTTTCGCCACCAAACATCATTAAAAGATATTGATCTTTTTACTCGAATCTTTAACTCTTGCTGCTGAGCCCAAGCAACCTAAAATATATTTTAGCATTACACTTCATTGTTATCTGGCATTGTGTCTCAATTTAATTCTGAATATATGAATTAGAACCTTCATTATGATTCTGTTACTACATCATAACATAAATAAAAACAGAAATTTTTTTAGGTGGTGCTTCACTCAAATCATCAAAACTATAGCTTCACTCAAATCATCAAAACTTGTGAATATTTTTAATATAATTTCTTTAAATTTTAAACTTTTTAAGAAGAAAAAATTTCAAAACAGTTTTTTTTTGTTTTATTAGTGAAAAACTCTAAAAACCCTTCAACCTCTCAACCTCCATTAAAAAAATATATACAGCTGTGAGTATATTTGGCAGATAACATAAAGAAAATTCAAATTAAAAAAAAGAAAGATTATTTAAAAAAATTTTATTTCATTAACATTACCAACTAATAATGATTGTTTATATATACAAATTTAAAAAAGTTAAAAAACAGTCAGCAATATATATTTGAGAAATTTTTTTGCTACTGTAAGATTGGGTGGCTTTGGCCCTACGGGATGACTTTAGCAAAAGTGAAATTGTTTTTAAAAATGGTTTAAAATTGATACCTCAAGGTATGCCAGTTGATGTTTAGTAGCAAATTGTGTGAAATTTATTATTTAATTAGTCTAACTTAGATTACTTAACTCGAGTCTTTGTGATATTATTGTAAATTGCACTTTAGAAGAAGCACCTAAAATCCGAATTTTTTTAGGTGTGTAAACTTTTACATCGATAGCAGTACCTGTAAAAGGTTTTTTATTGTAATATACACTGAATTAATTTTAAACCATTAGTGTTTGATTCAATCTTTTTTTGAAAGCTTAACAGTTTATTACTTTTTTGTAATTGAGCTTAAAAAAAAAAGGTTGTCTTTGGCTCACTTCATAGGGTGACATTGGCCTGGGCTAAAGTCACCCCATGCATTAGAGTAAACCTTTTTTAGTGATCATTTATAGATATTATGGTAGTTACTATGTTGGAATGAAAAATTTTGTAGTAGTAATGCAATAGAAAATCAGTATAACAGTTTGTATTAGTAAATCAGTATAAAATTATAGTGAAATTTGTTTAGTTCTTAGTTTAAATATGCCACAAAATTACAAGCCAAATTGTGGAAGAAGAAATTATACTTTATAAGCAACATTATAAATGTAACTTATACTTTAGAACAAATAGACAATACATTAAAAGATTTAAAAAATGGTTTAACTACTCATAGACAAGCAGCTTTGAAATACGATATACCAAGATCAACATTAAAAAATAAAATAAAACAGACATATCCTAAAAAGTATGGTGGTCAGCAAATATTTACATCAAAAGAAAAAGACATGTTTAAGGCATATGCAATAAAATCATCTGAGTTTGGTTTTCCTGTTGATAAATATGATTTAAGATGCATAGTAAAAGGGTATTTAGAGAAAAAAGACATCATTATACCTCAGTTCAAAAATAATTTTCTAGGTGGCGATTGGATTCAATCTTTTTTAAAAAGAAACCCAGAACTCACAGTAAGATTTGCAAACAACATAAAGCGAAAGAGAGCAGAAATAGGAATGTCTGTGATTGATAACTACTTTATAAATCTATCAAATGAAATAAGTAATATATCACCTGATAATATATAGAATTATGATGAAACCAATCTCAGTGATGATCCAGGTAAAAAAAATACTAACAAAGCGTGGATGTAAGTATCCTGAACGCATCATTAATTCTACAAAGACCTCATTCTCCGTAATGTTTTGTGGCAATGCTAATGGTGAATTGCTACCACCTTATGTTGTTTACAAAGCTGAGTCGTTATGGAATACATGGATGAAACATGGGCCACCAAAAGCACATTATAACAGATCAAAAAGTGATTGGTTTTACTCAACATGTTTTGAGGACTAGTTTTTCTCTTTACTTCTTCCAAGACTTAAGAAGGCTCAAGGAAGAAGTATCATTATAGGTAATAACGTATCTTCACATTTGAACATTGCAGTATTGGATGCATGTTAAAGCAATAACATAGAATTTGTGGCATTACCAGCAAACTCTACACATCTCACGCAGCCATTAGATGTTGCCTACTTTAGACCTATGAAGATTACCTGGCGCAAAATATTATGTGAATGGAAGGAAAAAGGAAAAGGAAGGAGAGTTGCTTCTCTTCCTAAAGATGAATTTCCTAGACTTTTAGACCGTTTCATTACCAACTTAAATGAACATGGGAATGATAACCTTGAGCTGGTTTTCGCAAAACTGGAATTTTTCCATTAGACAAGTCTCAAGTGCTTTCACGACTACCATATTATAATGAAGGTTTAGACTCAACTACTGATTTAGTAAGCCAATCATTTTTAGATTATTTATGTAAGTCACTGGATGATCCCTCAGATGATTCTAAAAAACCAAAGCGACATAAAGTATGTGCTGTCCCAGGTAAAAGCTTATGTTCAGCAGATATATCATCTTGTGTTATAAATGAAAATAACAGATTAAATTCAAATAATGTAGATAGACAAACAATATTGACTTTGCTGGCCCAAGTACAAATACTGGAACTACTGAGACTTCTAATCTAACTTTTGCAGATGTAAGTTTAGTTGTAGAAAGTCATACAGAATCTTTAAATCATTCAGCATTAGACAAAAAGAACTTTCAAAATATTGATAAAACAAAAAGTGTTTGTAAAAAGAAAAAATTATTAAATCTTGTAGAGAATTTTACGTAATTGTTAAATGCAATGGAGAGTTAAATCATGAACAGGTTTGTTTATTTATTTTGAGTTATTTATATTTAGCTAATCAATTAGTAAACTTTATAACTAATTAATTTAATAACTAATATTATTTAATGAAACTACTGAAAAATTTTAAAAAAACTTTCGAAATTTTTTTTTCTGCAGTTAAAAAAATTAAGAAAAAATGGAGCAGAAATTACTATTATGAAAAAAAATGGGCTTAAATGGAAATGGTCACTACCAGCAGTGCAACTTTTTTTTCCCCAGTCTGAAATAGTTTATTTTATTGAGGAACCAAAGAAAATGTTAAAAAGAGGAATTTATTCAGTTCAAGAACTTTTTCATTAAATTTTTTAAAACATTATTTTTGCCATTTTTGTTTACTTTATACCTAAACTGTTTTGTTTACTTGGTACCTATACTTGTTTAGATTGTACTTATATTTTATTTACTGTATACAAAAATTTTTTTATTAAATCTTTTTTTGTCACTTTATTTTTGTAAATTTATTTTCTTTACCTAAATATTGTTGTTTTTATTGTTGTTTTGCTTCCTTTAGTCCCTTTTTACAGGGTTGGGCCAAAGTCACCCTAACACATAGGGCAACTTTGGCCCACCATTTAAACCACCCAAAAGATACTTCAGATAAATAATTTTCAAATGGGAGACAGATAGTTCTAACTGTCCTTTCTATGCACTTCTAAAAGTATTTAGTGTTTGAGGAATAACTTTTGTGGCTTTCATGCAATAGACATTACGATGCAAAATGGGCCACAGCCACCCAATCTTACGGTACTGATTATTTACTTTTGTGTTTTATGCTGCCAAAATCAAACAGCAAACAAGTATAACATGAAAATAAATCAAATAAAATTTCAATATAACACCTAAGAATATTATTCAAAGAAAAAAAATGTGAACTCACTCTTTTGTCTTTGTTAAGATGTATAGTTTTCGAATAGGATGCACGCTTTAACCTTTTCGGGATTCCTCGATGAATAAATTGGTAAACATTTTCAAATACCTAAATAAATAAGAGTACATAAGATTGTTAGTTATTTATAAATTTAACTTTTTTTCATAACCATAGACTAAAACTATAAAACTTAAACTTATATTACAGCTTCTTTTTAAGCTTTATTTGTTAACTCTCAAATATTTTGAATAACTCTGAATTTAGCATTATTATATCATTTAAGTTGTGAATGTTTGTCATGAAATATTTTGAATGCCATCACAAAATTAACTTATACAAAAATATGTCCATTACAAAAGTTAAATAAAAATTTTCTGACACTTAAACTACAAAGAAATATTGGAAACAACAGAATAATTCTTTTATACAGTATATAATAGGGTGGGCAGAAAATTACTTTTTTGAAATCATTCCTGTTACAACCTTAGATTTGTTCTATATAATAAAAAAACACTAAATTTTAAAAATTTAAAAATAACAAACAATTCAGGGGGTACCCACTGACCCTTGAATATTTAATGAGTTCTTGTTCATGAAAAATGAGTTCTTGTTCATTGAATATTTAATGATATTTTTTCAACATTTAACAAGTTCTTGTTCATTGAATATTTAACAAGTTCATGTTATTAAAAAAAAAAAATTTTCAAATTATGTCAACCTATCAATTCAAATCAAAAATCAAATGTTAAATTATCTCAAGCAAAATTTTATAACATTATATATAGATCATATATACATTAATACAATTTATACTATTATAAAAGTATACTATTACTATTAGTATAATTTATACTATTAATATTACTATTAAAATATTGAAACTATTTTCACATTTAATTACTGATTCTTTTTTTCTTTTTGAAAAACTGCTTTCATAATAGTGAGTTAATATAATAGTATCAAGTTAAACTTGTACTATTATAAAAGCAGTATTTTTTAAAAAAAAGCTAATAATTAAAAGTTAAAATACCTTCTGTCAATTATAACAACATAAGGCTTAAAATGCTATTTTAAGGCTTAAAATGCATTTAAACAGATGATATTTTAACTTTTAATTACTGATTAATTTTTTTCTGAAAAACTGCTTCAGTGTGATTTAACTTAAACTTATACTACAAAGCTTAAAATTTAAGCCTTATATAGTATATGTTATACTTATATATAGTATAAGTTATATAGTATAAGTTATATAGTATAAGTTATATAGTATAAGTTATATAGTATAAGTTATATAGTATAAGTTATATAGTATAAGTTATATAGTATAAGTTATATATTATAACTTATACTATATAAGTTATACTTATATAGTATAAGTTATACTTATATAGTATAAGTTATACTTATATAGTATAAGTTATACTTATATAGTATAAGTTATACTTATATAGTATAAGTTATACTATAATACAGTATAACTTAAAGTATAATGCTTACAATAGACTGAAGTTTTTTTAGCCTTTAATAGCTGGTTATTTTATTTCTAAAAAACTACTAGGTATCAAAATGTTATAATTTGTTTTCAGTGATCTGAAAAAAATTTTTACGACATGAGAAACATGTTATTTCACGAACAATGACGTTTGTTAATTCTCAGAAATTTCTGAATAAATACGAATTTCATAAAGGGTTACGTTTGGCTCCAAGGCAGGAGGGGGGATTAGTGGTTTTATGACGATTCACATAAAACTTGCTACTAAAGTGTTACGAGGCAGTGGTTTTGTGACGAGGGGGAATAGCAGAGGTCAAAAGTGGTCAAAAATTGCTTGACTTAATTTAAGAATGACTCCTAAGTGGGCACTGGCATAAGTGCAAAGTGGCGTAACTGCGGCGTAAGAGCGCAAAAAGAATTTAGAAACCTTAGCAGCATAAGAACGTATCGGCTTAAGTGCAAAGCATTTGCAAAAACTGGCATAAGTTCAAACTTGCGTCAATGCAAATTCGCCGTAAGAATGTGCAAACATTGGAAAAAGTGAGAAATAGCATAAGTGCGAAGCATAAGTTGGAATATGTGTGAACTGGTTAATGAGCGCCAAAAAAATGAGCAAAATCTGGGATAAGTGCGTCACTTGTGCCGATTCACACTTATGCCAATCTTTGCAATCTCTTTCGGCGGACTTATTAAAAAACAGAACAATAAAAACTTTTTGAAAAAGGTTTTGAAAAGTAATTCTAAGTTGTTGCCGCATACCATCGAGGGTTTTCTTTTTGCTCGCGTTAGTTGACACTCTTCTGCAAACTACTTCCTATTCACGCAGATGTATAACCGCAAGCTAGTCTTGCGGTTATACATCTGCATGAATAGGAAGTAGTCTTATCATCAAGCCCCTTTCATTTGCGACTTTGCAATAAGTTTCACGTAAGCTTAACGTGACATTAAAAATTCCCAAGTAGAAATAAAGCAAATACTTAGCCTTGTAAGTAAAAAACAAAGCCTTGTACGTAACGATCTGATAGATGGGTATAGAAAAGAAAAACTATTTGTATTGTAATATAATCATCGTTTGTGGTCATCCAAAAGAGATAATTTTGTTAGTTATTATTAATTTGTTCTCTAAAAGTAGGAGAGTATGTTGACGTCACTTAAGTTAAATAGGTGCTGTTTGACAGCTGCTTTAAAGAGATTTGATGACTTCATGTTTTTTATTTCTTTTTTAAGGATCGAATTCCATAACCGCGGTCTTCGAGATAAGATAGAGAAATCAGTTATTTTAAGTAAAATTTTTGGAATGTTAAAGTTTTGAAAAGAGTATTTTATTGGTTATTTGTGATCAATAGTGGAAAATTGATTTTCAAAGTGTTTTTGTAGTAAATTGAGATAAGTTTGTTAGTTATTATTAATTTGATCTCTAAAAGTAGGAGAGTATGTTGACGTCACTTAAGTTAAATAGGTGCTGTTTGACAGCTGCTTTAAAGAGATTTGATGACTTCATGTTTTTTATTTCTTTTTTAAGGATCGAATTCCATAACCGCGGTCTTCGAGATAAGATAGAGAAATCAGTTATTTTAAGTAAAATTTTTGGAATGTTAAAGTTTTGAAAAGAGTATTTTATTGGTTATTTGTGATCAATAGTGGAAAATTGATTTTCAAAGTGTTTTTGTAGTAAATTGTTTTGCAATTGAAACATAAATAATACATTTTGGAGAAGGTTCAGTTCATAAACATTTAGAACTCCAATTTCCATGAATAATGGTTTGACATGGGTATATCTGTTAGCATTGCATACAGTTCGACACGCTTGCTTTTGTTTTACATATATCTTGTTTAGTACAAAGAGTGTGTGCTTGCCCTAACGATATTGCGATAGTTTATATAACTGTGAATGAACGAATAATATACATTTTTTAAGCAAGTTTTATTTAGAAGGTGTTTTATTTTATGCATGATGCCGATTGACTTGGAGATTTTATTTTAGATGTGCAAAATATGATTCTTCCAACTAAGATTTTCTTGAAAAATAATTCCCAGGATTTTCATCGAATGGTTTCTTTCTATATTAATGCTGTTGACCATAAGCTGGGGAAGCTGAAGTGGTAAATTAACAGAGTCAGATGATTTCTGAAATAAAACATATTTGGTTTTGAGGATGTTTAAGGAAAGTTTATTAGCTTTAAACCATTCGTTTAAGTTTTGCAGCTGGTGATTAACTGTAGAAAATGTTGTTTTTATATTTGAGTGAGTGAAAAAAATATTCGTACCATCTGCAAAAAGAGTAAAACTAAGAATGTTTGAAGTTAAGTAAATATCGTTCACATAGATTAAAAATAGTAAAGGTCCAAGAATGTAGCCTTGGAGCCACAACTAATTGTTTGTAACCCTGTACATGCTGTGTTCTACGACACTCCTTTTTTCCTGCTATTTAAGTAATTTCTGAACCATCTTAGATTGTTGTTTGTTACTCCATATATCTCTAGTTTGTGTAGGAGGATCTCGTGGTCAACTGTATCGAATGTTTTGGTTAAATTGATAAACAAAGCTAGAGTATATTCATTATTTTCGAAACCATTCAAAATTTTATTGACTAATTTACGGCTTAAATCCACGGACCTTCAGTTCTGAAGCCATGAGTCTGACCACTACGCTACCCTTTTTTTTTTAAATTTCATTTAGGTTCCTCAAGAAGTCCTAACGGTCTTATAACAGAGCATCGCGGAAAAGCATTTATTCCAAACCGATGTCGCAAAACGTGCTCATAATTTGAACAACGGATCCTTTGTTTCTGAGATAAGTGCGCTACCACTGCACCACGGCTGCTCGTGACATGGCGCAGTGGTAGCGTACATAAATGAGCACATAAATAAGCTGAACATAAATGAGAGCAATAAACAAGAATAAAGAATAGGAGATAGTATTGAAGAACAGCTTTATAAATAAGCACTAAATATGCTGGACATAAATGAGAGCAACAATGTCAGAGCAACAATGGCGGATGAAGCAACTAAAAATATTAAAGCTGCGCAGAAAAAATAAAAATGAGGTTATGTCGTAAATTAAAGTGGATGACATTTTATTATTAAAAACAACAAACGATTTGATCGGAAAGGTTGGAAGTTTTCACAAAAGTTGCTTGGTCTTTACACTGTTATGAATATCTCTGAAAAAAGAGTTGCGACTTCAAAAAACGTTTTAGAGTTGACACTTAAGAATACATACATTACTTAAATCAAAAACTACATTCAAGGAGAAGAAATCAAATTAAAATCAACGTTAATCTGCAAATTTTCGGAATCATGCACCAGAAAAAATAGTTAATATGATTTAGGGGGCATCTATGAAGTACTTACGCAGTAAACCACTAATTTAGGACCTTCCTCCATCTACTGCGAATCTGTATTTTTTCAATGACCCCCTGTCTGTTTACCTACGCGTTATTTATTACAAAGTTAAACCCCCACTTTTTTTTCCACAAAGCATAAATTTTTTAAAACGTTTAAACTAAAAACTTTTAGTTAGTTTGACATCTCTATTACATTAGACAATATTGATTTTTTTAAACTCGTGAAAATTAATTCTTTTGTTAAAAATAAGAAATCAGATTTTAGGAGAG